AAAGTAAATGTTTCCAGTGTTTTTCTAAAACGACCTCTTAAAGACGATAAAACGCTTTTATATTATTTGTGCGAGGTGTTAGGGAAATAACTTTCATATATTTCACAGCCGATACTGTCAATGATTTTGACGAAAACAATTAATTATGATATGTATCCGAAACTTAATAAAAATAATTATAAAGTCATGAATCATTTAGTTACAGACAATTTCAATAAAGACATATTTGAGGAATATTCAGGCATATTTTTATTCATTTAACTGCAAATTAATTATATAGGTACCATTTGAAAACATTCCCATAGGCTGTTGAATACAAGAAGTGTGATTTATTACTTACTTAAATATTTATTTATTTATTTATTTTTGTTTCATCAGAAAGAATAAAGGAGGAGGAAAATTTGTTATTATTTTCTTTAACAACTGGTCAAATTTACTACATGTATTATAGCTGCAAGAATTACAAACACCCTGTACAGACTGTTTGGTAAAGTAAAGCATTCTTTTCCAAAGCCTCCAGTTTTTTCATCTAATTCGATGTGTCAAAGAAAAGTTTCTTTTCTGTTCACCGAATTCGCACCATAGAGTAACAGACCAGATCGAGTTAAATGGAATATTTATGAGAAACCCGGGACTTTGTAATTCAACTAGTCGGGGTAATACAATTTAGCCGGGAACAGCTGAAATTAGAAGTAGAAAGAAACTGATTCCAACTTTGTATAGTTGGCTGTGACTGAACAAAACATTTGCTTTACGTTTAGATGAAATATAACATTCGTAGGAGGAAAGTTTTCTCTTTAAAGAAGAATAATACCAGCGCTCGAAATTAAAACATTAACGGAATTTCCAAACTTTAATTAGATACCTATTCTTTAAGGAATAAAATGCAGAAAATAAAAAGAAAACATTATTGAAACAACGTGGTACCAGAGAACTATATGAAACAGCTAATTGAAAAAAATTTTAAAAGAAAAGCAAAGGTGAAATAATTCATACAATATATATGAAATGTCACAGAAATTTTCAGAAATAATACAGTATGTTTCATTATAAGTATTCATTATAAATCAATCCTTTTTAATACGCAGGATATTTAAGTCTGCAAATACAAAAAAAAAACACTAGTAAGGTGTAGTAGGGACTACCAATATACAAAAAATTAATGCTATTTTCGAAATTCTTACCTAGAAGAAATATAGCTATTGAACGTTTTAACGTGATTGGTGAATCGCCTTATCTTAATTAAGTATCAAAAGTATAATAAATAATATGCAATATTAAGAAAATTTTACTTTACTAAACTTTCATGTTAAATTATTTTTAAAATATCAGATTTGAATGAAATTTTTATCAGAAATATACGGGGTGTCCCGTTCATGTTTCAAAAAAACTTTTGTGCAAGTTCCCCATGAAAGAATAATAGGGGTAGTTCATGAAAAGTTTTTTTCTTAATGTGCAAACAGTTTCTTTCTGAAAAGCAGTGTCGCCGATACAGGTAACTGAAGGGGGTACAAACGAAAAAAAAATATGTTAAAAGTCAAAATTTATTATATTTCTAAAAGGTTCTGTAAACTCTAAAGCATACTACAAAAAAAATGTATACTCGTCGAAAATCGGTAGCACGTATCATTTTGGAGAAAAATGAAGTTGCAAGAAGCAAATTGGGAACAATTTTAGTATCTACTGTAGTATTGCGAGTTTGCACATTTATTTAATTGTGCAGCTGTTTTGTTCTGTATGCCTCTCCTTAAATAAATGGATAGGACGAGGAAATAATTGTCCCCAAAATTGGCCACCACGATCACCAGACCTCAACAAATGTGATTATTTCCTTTGGGGAACATTGAAGGATTTTGTTTATTCTTCGCCAGTTGAATCCCGAGAAAATTTGTGGAATCGTATTACAAATAAATGTAACCTTATAAGAAACAATCACCATTTGTTAGACAGAGTAAACTTCAATTTCCGGCAAAGAATAAATTTATGTATCAGGGAAAATGGTGCCCATTTTGAACAATTCCTTTAGTTTTAACTATCATTACATATTTTTTCAAACTGCATTGTATTGTACTTAATATTCTTTAAAATAATTGTGTCTATCTCGATGCTTTCAATTATTATTTTTATTATTTATTTGTGTTTTTTACTAAATACAATCTTAGCTTATTTAAAAACTACCTAGGTACTTGTTTTCTTTTTGTAGAATTAGGAGAGAAGTGAAGTAAAATTTATTTGGCCAATTGTCAAATTTGAAAGATAAAGCCTACTACTGACTTTTCCATTATTTTCAAATAAACACTGTTAAATTATTGTGTCAGTTAATACAGTTTATCTTGAAAACCTAGTTTTTTAAAATTTAACAGGAGTAAAAAAATTTTTAAAATTAAATTCTGCTGTGAATTAATATTATTATTTTTGAATTCGGTCAATGAAAAAAAAGTTCGGTACAATTTTAGGGGTGACTCATCCCCAATGAATACATGAACATGATACATGATGATGATACAGATGATACATGAATTGTAGTGCTTCAATTAACTTTAAGTCATAGTCGAAGAAGACCAGTAATAAACTTAAATCATGTATCAAATTTGGTTCTTCTGCAGTAAAGTGTTGCAGAGGTATTAATACCTTTTCGAAATTTTGGGCCCCACTTTGGGTGCTAATAACTCCTCAGGGGTGCAAGTTTGGTTAAATTACAATATTTTGGACACCCCTACATGCACCTGCGCTGTGTCGGTTTTTATGCAGGACACTCTGTATATTAAAAAATATATATTTTTAGTAGAAAGGGCAAAATTAGTATGATAATTTAGTCATTTTTTCAACACTTTTACCAAGAATGATCCTAGAACAACAAATATACAATATATTTCTTTGAAATATTACATTATTTAACAATTTCATCATGTCAGTTATATGATTTTGTATCAATAATATTTATTTAGACATATCTTTTTTAATGTTTATTTTAGATAATTATTAGTTACTAGCTATTGCAAGATATTGTTGATATAACTAATGTTAGATGGGCAATGTAGTTGTTTCTGTCTTGTCTATGGGATTAAATACCTTTTGCGTACGTAGAATTTTGGAAGCGAAGAACATTGTTTTACTTCATCTGATGGCATTTTTGAGAAAATTTCTTGAATTTATTTAAATTAGCTATTAATAAAATACATATTTATTTAAAAGAACTTCTTTGTCAAAACGCCAAATTTGAAAGAAATCACACAGTTAAAGGTTATCCTCTGCAAATGCTTGCGGCGTGCAAATTTTACTTAAACATGCATATTATTTAAATGTGTGGTGAATAATTTTTTTATTTATTTTCAAACTGTAATGATTTATAGAATAGTTATCGTAACAAACACTTTATGTTCGAACTGAAAAATGGTTGTTTTTAAAATTTCATTTCTGATTAAATGAAACTTATAATTTAAAAAACATTTTTATTTTTAAATTATCTCCAAATTAAGACCTGCTAAGTATGCTCTGTACATTACTACTTTTAATTTTTATATTTAGTTTCATCAGGATATACAGGGTGTCCCCAGTTCTGGTTGCCTATACCTGCAATGGATACAAAATTTCAATTGTCAAAAAAAATCATTCTTCATAAAAATTTTTGCTTGTCCAGAAGCCCTTGGCAAGATAGTCATTTGTTCAATTTAATGTACAGGGTGTTAAAAAATTTGGAAAAGGTAAAAACAGTGAAGAGTAAAGTACCTTAAATCTTAACGCTACGTGAAAAAGTAATGGGAAAAAGTTGCTTGGAATTAAATTTTATGTTTAAATATGAAAGAATGGCCTTCTAGGTAATACTCGACATTCTGGGATATTCTAGGACTCTACTTATTTTATAATACTTTCGGAGAAGCCATTCTATTTAAAAAATATTGCTTTATTGAAAAACAGATACACATGTTTGTATATTAATAATTTATTTTTTATGCAGGGGGATCAAAAACCTCAAATAGCAAATTTGAATCAATATACGTACCTGGAGATGCTAGACACGTTTTTCTGGACAGAATTAGAACATTTGGAATATAGACAAAAAGCGTATTTCCAACAAGATGGATGTTCCGCTCACTCAACAATTCTAATCGGCAATTGGTTTAACAGAAAATTTCGAGAAAAGTGGATAGGAAGATATGGTCCTATTTGTTTGCCAGCAAGGTCCCCTGACTTGTCGCCGCTTGATTATTTCCTTTGGGGCTTCTCGAAAGAAAGAGTGTACAGAGAACCAGTGCAACACAATGTTGATTTCTTGAAAAGCAGGATAATTGAAGCTGCTGCCCAAGTAAATGAAGAAATGATACATTCGAACTACGCTGCATTTAGAAAAAGATTGGAGAGGTTTGTTGAACTTGGCGGACTTCATGTAGAATAGTTTTGTAGTGGCGCGTACATACTGATTTTGCCGTGTTCTCAAAATAAATGTTGGATTAATGTTTTTGAAGTTTTTGATCCCCCTGTATAAAAAATAAATTATTGATATGCAAACATGTGTATCTGTTTTTCAATAAAGCAATATTTTTTAAATAGAATGGCTTTTTCGAAAGTATTAAAAAATAAGTAGAGTCCTAGAATATCCCAGAATGTCGAGTATTAACTAAAAGGCCATGCTTTCATATTTAAACATAAAATTTAATTCCAAGCAACTTTTCCCTATTACTTTTTCACGTAGCGTTAAGATTTAAGGTACTTTACTTTTCACTGTTTTTACCTTTTCCAAATTTTTGAACATCCTGTACATTAAACTGAACAAATGACTATCTTGCCAAGGGTTTCTGAACAAGCAAAAATTTGTATGAAGAATGATTTTTTTTGACAATTGAAATTTTTTATCCATTGCAGGTATAGGCAACCCGAACCGGGGACACCCTGTATGTATAATCGTATGATAAGAAGTTGAAGTATTTAAATAACTCCATACAAAATACCGGCGAAAAATCATAGGCACTGAACTGTTTTTGATTGACATTTATTTTCAGTTCCTATCTGCTTGCCGAGAGACGGCGACGATTTCACCGGCAGGATGGCGACGGTGACGGGCTGGGGACGGCTGAAGTACGGAGGAGGCGTGCCCTCCGTACTCCAGGAGGTGCAAGTGCCTATAATGGAAAACCCCGTTTGTCAGGAGATGTTCCGGACAGCGGGGCATTCCAAAGTCATCCTGGAATCGTTCTTGTGCGCGGGCTACGCGAACGGACAGAAGGACTCATGCGAGGTGAGCTGATGTTTCACTACAACTTGTCAAAAACATGAAAAATTGTAAAAATTAAAAAACTGTTCTGAGAAACACATTTTCTTTGTTGTTTACAGATATTTGATATACATGAATAACTGTTTTTCAAATAATGTACTGTACTGTTTATATACAGGGTGTACTTAAATGAAGAGGCACAAATGATATCCGAGATTCCTCAGGTGAAAATAAGTTGATTTATCCTACATACTAATAAGGTTTTTTTTCTTCGGGAAATTAAAGGCTTAATGAATATAATAGGTGAAAATAAATGTAATTTAGACACACGCTTTTGTTTAATACGTCAAAAGAGTAAATTGAATAATAATAAATAAATAAATGTTGTCGCAGTCGATTCCTGCGACCCCGTTTGGTCACATTTAGACACATAATTTTAAAATACTTATCATAATTATAATTTATTCTGAATTTATTACCAAAATGTGCATTTTAGACGTTAATATTCCTGGAAGTATTAAATCCCAAATACTAAATAAAACCAAAAATATCTCCCCAACTTTGACTGACTAGCCATTTTCAATAAGGAAGTATACCTCTTTTGTTAAAAATAAGTCCAATATTTCATATTTTGTTACTAAAGGCTGTATACCAGGGGTGACAAAAAAAAATAATACATATTATATTGAGCCATGCATTGCTACGATGTTTTTAGAAGCAATTTTTGGGAGAATCACTTTAGGCTCATAATCTTAACCAGCTTGTCTGGAAACTCATATATGCTCATTTTTTCACCAATTTTACTTTGCATATGCAACTTCTTGTGTCTCAAATATAGGATGTAATATTTGACCAACGTATTCTACGAATAAAATTTACAAAAAGGATATAAATACGGATAAAGAGATTCATCCTATGAAAGTTACAATGCTACTTTTTCCAGATACTTTCGATACCATCCAAGATAAAACAACAATATTTCGAATACTTAGGCGGCGAATCTAATGTTCAACGGACAACTTACTCAATTTTAGACAGGAGTTAAACTGCAAATAAATTTTGCTGTAACATTTTTATATAAGGACTTTTCAACTGTGTCAAAAATTAGAAATTTTAAACAATTTTACAGTCAGAAGGCACTGCTCTTTTGTCATGCGGATATTATATTCCACAAAAATGTATTTTTTAATTGTAAGTAATTTAAAATGATGAGTAATAAGAAATAGGAGTGTAAATAATTTATGCTTTTGTGATTTTTTTGCGAGAAATAATTAGTGCCGTTTTAGTATAGCGAGTAAGGGAAAAAGCAACATTATTTCAAAGACTTAGAAATGTCATACTGACAAAAATAAAGTTAAGGAAGTCCTACCACAAGGCAACGTTTGATCAGCATAATTAAAATGTGTTATTCATTCCCCAGTCACAGATAATTACTTTTTTGCCCTCTGTATCCTTTAAAGTTACATTTCATAGCATAAATTATTATTATTTTAATGAATTGAATAGATTATTACCGATTGCACCTTAAGTCATTGATTAAAACTTTCCAGGAACAGGAAAAACCGTCTGCTAAACATACAAATTAAATTCCTGCTATAAATAGGTAATAATAGTAACAAATAAATATATTTTTGAAAAAATTTACTTTTGAAAATTGAATTTTAATTTATGATATTAAATTACGCACAACAGCAAGCACCAACGTTTATTTAAAAATGTGTATAATATACAGGCTGTTACAAATTCGCTTCTCACTACAGGGATCTCAGAAACGGTAAGAAGTACGAAGTAGCTTACATTGGGGCTCATGAAGACTTGCAAGAAATGTAATAAAATTTCTAGGGTCGTATTTAAAAAAATGAAGTTGATGATGATCCTGGAGAGACGAAACGTTATATATAAAAATTGATTATGCCATTCGATAGAGGGCAAAAAGTGATGTTGAGTAAGTGTTCTTTTTTCAGTATCACCTCAAACAAAGCTGAAATAAAACAAAAACGAATTTCCAAAATTTCGTTTTTTTTTCAGATATTTCGAAAACTAATCATGTTAGCCTTGATTTTTTAAAGGCACACTGTTGGTTGATTACGCAACTTTGCCCCCATTTAAGCTAGTTTGTATCTCTTACCTTTTTCGAGATCCATGTAGTGAGAAACGAATTTGTAACAACCTGTATACTATACAAGTTAGCTTTTATTATTTTTTGACTGTTTAATGTTGCCCGAGCTTATTATATTTTGGTAAAAAGGTTTATTAACTTCTGTTTTATCTCAGTAGACAAAATCAAAAAACTTCTTGCATAAAAATGTATTGTCTTGGTTTTTAAATGCACATTTTTTTAAAGAAAACACATTTTTTTAAAGAAAACATGCGTTTTTTAAATAAGTGAATTGCGATATGAGTATACGTAAAAATCTCAATAACAGGTTAAATTAGTTTTGAAAATGTTAATATTTCCTTGTCCAATAAAGAGCTTTCAACTGTTTTCATGTTTTACATATCTTTACAGTATAGCTACTAATATTAAATAAATTTCAATCCAAAAGTTATTAAAATAATACAAGAGTACCTTTTTACTGCAAAATTATCTAGAATTTATAATCAATCAGTTCAAAGGTACAATGTCAACACTCGGAGATATCTAGAAAATAAACAGTTTTCAAACACCCACCAATAATAGCGAAGCCCTCTTAGGGAGCGTTACTCCGCCAATGTAATAATAACATTTTTCTCTTATTCGTACTTGTATAATGAACAGGTAAAATATCGCAGGCTGGGGGACCCTTTATAGTTCCAAGTCAAATATTTAAGGGTGGCTATTTATTAAGGTATTAACCTAAAAGTTATGACTTAATTCAAACGTAGCCTAAATCACCAAAGGCTCGAGCTATAAAACGCAATAGCCCTCCCGCAAGCAATGATAAAATGCTAACATCCAAGCTATCCCCTAATTAAGAGTCTCGAGAAAGACATATACTGGATGTACATTTAGATTACTGATAATTTCCTGGCTGGTTGGCGGGAATAGACGGCAAATCGTGTTTACATAACCCATGCCACCCTTGTGTGTTTAAGCAAATTAAAATCGATCGCGATCGCGGGGTTAATTCACCTGTTAAATTTAAATTTATGCAGCAATTATGATGCATACAAATGTATACGAATACGGGAATTTGTTTACATTAAGCTTAATGGAAAAGGAGCCTTGGTGATTGTTCAGTAAAAAATCAATAAATTGTAAGTATATGTTTTTGTACAGAGTGAACAAATGGAAAAAAAATTACGTATTCTTGACACTACATGTATTGACAGATGGTTGTTCTATCTTGATGGAATAATATTTGTAATGTGTCCACAAAATCAAACATATTTGCCGCCTATCACTTAATAAATCGATATCTAATAGACAGTAGAACAGAAACATATTAAAATATTGCAAAAATTGAAATTTAAAAAATAATAATACAAGTCACCGGCTCCTTCGCCATTTATTGAAATTTATAATTGAAGCTGGCATAATTGTCTGTACACCAGGTTTGCGAATCGTAGTAGATACGTAACAAAAAATAAAGAGAGCAATAATTATAAGATGTATGTAATTGTTAAGCATGTATTTTATGCATCGTTATCATACATTTCACAATCTGGGTGAGTTGGGTGAAAGACCTGCACCATCAGATATGTTCTTACCCTTATTTTAACGAAACTCATTCGCCGCAATGAAAAAATGTTTTTATATGAAGATAACAACCGTTGGACATTCACTGATATAATATTTACATAATTAAAATTAAAAAATTTAAATTAATCAATTACAAATTGGGTCTTCTGGTTTCCGCCAATTTTTTTGTATGTCCATGAAGTATCTGCGTCCGCAAAATAATTCATTTAAAAAATACTACACCAAAGATAATGATTAATGAAGATGAATTACTGAAATTGATGGAAAAAATAAATATGCACCTCAACCAAAACTCATATTGTTATGGTCCTACAAGGGAACAGCAGACTGGTCCATAAAAGTACAATTTTTTGGCCTAGGTACCGTTGTAAGACACTTAAAACTTACGTGAATATAAAATTAGTTTTCATTTATTTCCAGTGAGTCATAGTACGAGTATGATCATATTAAATTTCAGATAAAGGAAATCTAAAACTTTTTATGACAGTATCAAGCTTTCACCGTGTATCTCGAAGAATCTTAATAACGCTGATGTATTATTCATGGACCTTCTCCATTTAGGCACTGAATATTCATGATTTGGAGGAATAAAATGTCGAAATAATATTTAGCTTTAACATATTTATTAAATTTACTCGTAATTATAGTCTAAAGGTTGCTGTTACTTGTCTGATATCAAGTTACTTATCAGAACGATATTTTTTACAAACCAAACATACAAGAACATACTGGGGCACTTGGGAAAGGGTGGCGTGAAAAATGGGGAAGGAAATGTTTTTCAAAAGATCTGACAAACTTTTAGATTTTCGCCGTTTTATTGGGACCCCGTTAAAGAGACTAATTTGCCCGCACAGAGTAGACATGTCAAGCCTTTAAAAAACAGTTTTTTTTTTCAAAACTACCAATTTTTTTCATAAAAAAATAATTTTAAAATTTGTTAACATTTGTTAAGTATTTTTTTAATAGCAGAATTTTGGATCTTGTCATTGCAAATGTTTACTGTAGAGTGCTTCGATCTCCTCAACCTTTACTACCTGCTGATCCTCACCATCCTGCTCTACATGTAAGCGTTGTTATATACAGCAAACATTCCAATCTTTTTGCAGTGCAAAACAATCCTTCATTCAACTTTAAACATTCAAACTTTCTTAGTTTATATAATGAACTTAGCTTTCTACTGACTTATCGGTAAATGATATAATTTAACAGTTTTATAACAAAATAAATGATACCCTCTATAAACACGTTCCCTTAAAAAGACCTACGAGTAAAGTTTATCCGCCCTGGTTTAATAGTAAATTGTTAACTCTCTTAAAGAATAAAGACCGTGCTTGTAGATTATATAAAAAATCTAAACAGCTGAATGATGAACTTTCAAAATATTCGTTCTCGGTAAAATCTGCCATCAAGATTGCTTATACAAATTATATACTAGAGTCCGAAAATACAATTATGAGCGATTCTAAAAAATTCTGGAACTCTGTAAACTCAAAAAAGGGTTTTACTCGTACATCATATTCTATGTTATATGGGTCTAATTGCAATAATCCCCAAAACATAGTTAACGCCTTTGCTTGTTACTTTTCTAACTCCTTCATTGATTCCACCAATTTTGATTTAAATTCACAATACTATGTAAACGATAATGACATCCCAGATATTCCTGAAATTACGGAAGATAAAATTTTAAATTCTATAAAGAGACTGAAGGCAAATATGACAATGGGTCCAGACAACTTGCCGGCCTTTATTATCAAGGATTGTGCTTGCTTATTTTCCAAGCCGTTATGCACGATCTTTAATCAAATCCTTAGAGCTAACACCTTCCCTGATTTATGGAAACAGTATCGTGTGTGTCCTGTTTTTAAAAGGGGTAACAAGGAGGTACAGACCTATTACTATTTTATGCAACTTCTCTAAATTATTTGAAATTATTATTCGCACATTATTAACACATTTCTCTTTATGCTAAAAACTTAATTCTTCCTGAGCAGCATGGCTTCATGCCAGTGTCCAATCTTGTGCGTGCTATTCAATTTATTGATGAAACTTTGGATATAAGAGGTCAGGTGGACGTTATATACAGGGTGTTTCTAAAATAGGGTTCCAAACTTCTGCTGCGTTTATAACTCATTAAAATAAGTCAAAAAGTTCCTATTAACATGTGCCCTAAAACGCACCCTTAGGAAGTTATATGCCCTTAAAAGAGCTCAAACAAAACTGGTTTTTTTCTGTTATTGACAAAACACTTTATGTACGGCCGTGCGGCTGGAAATGCATCAGATGCGAGGCGTCTGTATGCAGCAACATACCCGAATAGAAGACTTCCTTCTCGACAGGTATTTCAAGTGCATATCTGCCATTTCCGTGTTTGAATATGACTCCATTTTATGAGTTGCAATATCCACTCACCACTTTTACTAATTAAATACTGCAAAGCTCAATTGACAGTTTATCAATAACTTAAATTTTTAAACGTTGTGGCAACGTCAGTTTTTATTTTCCATGGTAAACAGATTTTTGTAATTTTTGGCGTAAAAACTTAAAGAGCAGAGTAATTTACTCGAAAACCATTGGAAATATCGATTTGGACAAAGATAATATTTTTTACGTAAAATTGTTAAGATTTTATAAATCTGTAGAGAAGATTTTAAAAAAATTGAAATAAAAAAAAATACGGGCCGAAAACCCTCTTCACCAACCTAAATGGGACGCATATGATTTGCATGTCGAAAAACGGAGTAGCCCATGTTATTTAACGTAAAAAGTTATGTAAGACCCATAAATTTTTTTCTATTTATTTGCGACCGTTTTGTCAATAACAGAAAAAAAAACAGTTTTGTTACCCTTTTAAGGGCATATAACTTCCTAAGGGTGCGTTTTAGGGCACATGTTAATAGGAACTTTTTGGTTTATTTTAATGAGTTATAAACGCAGCAGAAGTTTGGAACCCTATTTTAGAAACACCCTGTATACAGATTTCATTAAACCCTTCGACAAATTAGATCATGGTATATTGCTTCGTAAACTACACAATTTTGGTATCAATAATTTTCTTTTACTTATGTTTAAATCTTATTTATCACATGGTGTTCAGTTTGTGCAATATCGTGGTTACAAATCAGATATATTTAGTCAAACTTCAGGCGTTCCTCAAGGGTCACTATTAGGACCATTGTTTTTTATTATTTTCATCAATGATATAGCGCGAAACTTTAAAGTAAATTTTTTAATGTATGCTAACGATTTGAAAATTTATACCAATGTCAACTCTGTATCTGACTGTAATAGGGTTCAGCACAGCTTGAATTTGGTCACCATTTGGTGAGATGATAATAATCGGCTTCCCTTAAACGTTTCGAAGTGCAATGTAATATCTTTCTCCCGTAAAACTAGTTCTACTCAGTTTAATTACATTTTAAGAAAAAAAATTTTCGATATTTGATGAGTATTTAACGCAAAATGGTGAAATAATTTTTTTCATCTTAATCATGATTAATTCATGTTTAATAGCTGTTTTACATTGACAATTAATTGATGAAGTTTTTCATGAAATAATTCACGAATTTATTGGTAAACAGTGTGGTTTTACACTGCTACCGACTTTATCAAGTTTTTTGACGTATAAATCAGTTCTACCAATGAATCAAAGAAGCAAATAAATTTCAAAAATGTCACCTTTCCACTCATAATTGTATTGATACAGCAGCGGTGCCGTTCTGACACAAATTATATAAATATTAGTTTTTGTAAGTAACAAATCAGCAAAAACAATGCAAAACTAGTACGACGCCACACAATTATTTACATATTCCAATAACATAACCTCATTACTGATCTGAGGCTGGAAATCTGTTGGGTTGGAACTTCCGAACTTCACGAAGAAATTGACGAAAATTAGAACATGCTCTAATTCGTCAAGAACTTGATGAATAAATTGATGAAGTTATTTGACAGCTGATGTGGTGCATTACATTTGTCCAATTTCTTGATGAAGCGACTTCATCAATTAATTGATCAATAAATTGTCGATGTAAAACAGCTATAAGGAGTGATAAACCTGCTCAGGCTAAATGACCTGGCATTAACTAAGCCAGAAAAAATTTTTCTGAGACCATGGAGTTTTGAAAAAAAAATAAATATTCAAAAATCACTAAAAAAAATTTGGAAATTTTTCTGCTCCCTTAATTATTTTGCTGAGTGTGCTTCCATCAAAACTGTGCACCAAATGTAACAAACTTGTCGGATACAATATATCTGTGATGTGTCGTATAAACAGGCGTACACAAAAGTAAAGACAAAAAGAATCACTAATGATAAAATTCTTTGATTTGTGTAGATCTTTAAAGAAAAATTTTAAATTCATACTAAGCAATTTTTTTCTTCAAAAAAACTTGACACCTTAAACGAAGAAATAAAAGTGTGTACTACTCGTATAATAAATACTTCGAAGATGCCTGCAGGCTACCGAAAAGAATGTTGACATTAATTGAATTTTATGTAAGCCATGACCTTAACCTAATCATGTGTTCATTTTCAGGGCGACTCAGGGGGTCCCCTAGTTCTGCAGCGGCCCGACGGAAGGTATCAGCTAGCGGGGACGGTGTCGCATGGTATCAAGTGTGCCGCGCCCTACCTGCCCGGGGTGTATATGAGGACGCAGTATTTCAAGCCGTGGATAACATCCATCACAGGAGTGACGTCGCCGTGAGAGTGAATTGTGCCGTGCCAGAGTAGACGGAAACAATTTATATACGTAAATGAATGAGATTTGCGTAAAACACTTATTACGTATTACAACTTGGAAATCGAAACAACAAGTGTAATGCTAGGTTTACAGGAGCGTTATGTTAGCTATACGTTCGAAATACACGTTAAAAATAGCCAATGTTGCACTCTCACAAAATACTGTACCAACTGTGTTTGCTATGCTCATATGTATTACAAATAGTCGCCATTATTTTAAATAAACGTAGATGTTCGCAGTGGTAGAAAAGTCGTAGTTGATTTAATTTTTCGTTTAAAATAAATAAAACTATAATAACATGATAGGAATTTATCTAAAAATAATAATTAGTAGTGGTAAAATCTTGTAAATAATTACTGAAATCAAGGTATACTACATAGGAGAAAATTTATAACGAATTATTAAAAAAAAATAATGGCAAATATAGTATTTTATCGAATATTAACTTGTAGTTTTAGAATTAAAATCATTTAGACAATAGGAACAGTTCACAGCTCTTTACATAACATACGTATACAGGGTGTTTTGAAAAAGAGATTCGGGAACTGACAGAAGATGAAAAAGTAAGATATTTTGTTCCTATGGACCATGGCCCTATCGTCTTTTATTTGAGATGCAATACGTCAAAAATCAATTTTTAAGATCAAATTTTGGCCATATTTTTGCCAAAAATATATCATAATAATACTTTGAAATTTGCTACAAGTAAGTTTTTGAGGCAAGTGTTGTTAATTTTTTATTACTATCTGCTAGAGGGCGCTAGCTACTGTCTTACCTAGTTACATCTTATGACAATTTATTTGTGGTTAGGTTTTTCTTGTCTTACAATTTCATTTTACTTAAAAATAGTATTCTTATTGATATCTAGAAAGATTCACCATTTTTGCAAATTACGTAATAAATTATACAAAATTAACAAGCATCTATTCCTTAATATACAGGGTGTCCCTAAACGAATAGGCCGCACTTCACGGGCAGCATAATTGGACGAAAATAAACTAATTTAGATCAAATTAGTTTAATACAATTTTGCTCCCTTAAAAAATGTCTTCAAAAAAGCTGGACCAGGGTAATTTGATACAAATTTATTTTAGTTTAGCTTAAAAGTTTATTTTCATCAGAAAAAGTATGAAGTATTTATTGCTCAACAGTTTCCATATTATGGAATACATGCTGTCTTTTCAGCGATATCAGCCTTTTTACCTTTTTTATGTAAATATGACTAAAACCATAAAAAATTAACCTTTAAAAAGTTATTATATAAATTGTCGCCAGGTATATCAGTAGCTAGGAATCTTTAGCAGATGAATGTATAAAATATTTTTTTAACAAGTTTTTATTAACGTATTTTTTTTTTCGAATTCTTCTCAGCGAACCCTTTCATTTGATACCCATATCATGGGGGTGCATAAAAAATAACTGGTCCGCCATCTTTGGGAGTCCGCCATATTGGATTTAAAATCACGTCACTTAACTAACCATGCATTGTTATCCAAACTAAAATGTATACAAAATTTCAGCTCAATCGGTTGTAATAAAAGCTTGTAAAAATTAATAACACTGATATATTTATCACCACCAAAAACTTACTTGTACACTGTAAGAAAAATTGTACCTATTTTTCACTCAATTTCACTCAAAATGTATCTATTTCTGTCCACACCTTATTGAGTGAAATTTTGCTCTATTAGTATGATTACAACTAAAATTTTATGAGTGAAACTATCAGTTTTAATTTAAATATTATCAAAAATGTGTACAATTATCAAAATGCCCAATATTGACTAAAAATGTACTTAACTGTACTCAGTCAATGGATTCACTGCGAACCTTTATTGCTTTCACTCAAACCAATTTATTTAGAGTGTATCAAGTTTCAATGCTTTAAAATCTGATAAAAAATCTTTGACGCTATGTATCTCAAAAACAGAACATGATGAGCCAATGGTCCATAGAATAAAAGAATCGTCTTATTTTTTACTATTCTCTGCTCGTGAATTTTAATACTTTTTTCCAAAACTCACTGTATATCCATTTAGTGTCCATTTAAAACAATAATGGCAATTTTTAATTCCTTTATCTATAGGCAATATGGCAGAGTATAACATGTGTGTCTACTTAAAAAAATTGTTTCCACGCGCAAATAAGTAGCGAACATAGCTAATATTAGTTTTGTGGATCTAACATTTAAAGAATCAGAATCAAACTTTGGAAATTATAACAAGAGTTACAATTTTCTAAAGCTCTATTCTCCCTTGTATATGATTATTTTAAGATAGTTAAGACGTAAGTGGTACAATTGATACAAATTTTAAAATGTGAGATTTTTTATCGGTTTACTGAAGTCTTCAGTAAGTAAATAAAAAAAAGATTATTGTTGCTGACATACACAGTAATAAAGAGACTAAATCAATATAATTTCAGAACAAGAAAATGTCCAGATACACCTCTCTTTAACACCCATTTGAACAACCGGATCTCTGAAATTCACACATAGGTAACCAAATTTTTAAAAAATTGTATATCTCATTATTCAAAACAGTTGTTTCCGTCTGCTCTAAAAGGACAATTAGGACGAAAAGCCATCCGAACTAAAGTGAACTCTAAAAAGTGTGATGAACTTTTACCCGTGGAGTAAATTTAATTGTTGTTACTGATTGTACGTTTGTAATTATTGTATATGTATTTATATTTATTTATTAAATAGGAAATATATTTAGTTACTAAAATGTTATAATTTTACCCAGTTTAGATAGCTCCATTGTTACAAAATGGTTACGCAACGGAAGCCAAACTCCGGCAATAACTTGCGGTTATCCGGGATCCGATCGACCCTCCTCGCGATTTTCGAATTGATATAACTGAGGCCGGCTCATACCGCGAGCGATTTTGCAGGAAGATAAATCTTCCCGGCTCGAATGTTTGACGCTGTTCCAAATCTGACACTATTTTTGCTTTAATAAATCAACTAGTGTCACAGCATCGTCGTATCAAATTGTTTCCTATCAGAATTCAATCTATTATTTCAAGACAAAAAGTAAGGATCAACTACAGAATGAAGGAAAAACGAGAAAAACATTTTTTCCGATATAAAAAATTGTATTCAATACTCATATCTAAGTAACAGTTCAATGTAAAAAATATACAGGGCTGTTCGAATTTTATTAATCAAACTTGAAACTGAAAGCAGATTGATTTACACAAATTATTTTCGTTTCTTAATATAATACATTCATAAATGTTCACTTTTCGAAAAGCGGTATGTCTAATTTTATTTAAAAAATCCCATTTGTTTAATATTTTGCGAACGGACATTGTTCTATCATTAAAATTTTACATAAATTTTTACTGGTGAAGACATATTTTATAAATGTATTTTCAATTTTTAAGTTTTATTAGACGATAAACAAATTAGCAAATATCTGACGTGGTTTGTTTTATGAAGTAAGAAAATAGGAAATAATTTTGTAGCACCTATTTTATATCAGCAAATTCAACTGCTTTTGCCGCTATTGTTACTATAAATTAATAGAACTAATTTGTGGTTTTAATTAATAAAATAATTTGACGTATCTGATGTTACAACAATTGTTGCACTCGTATGGGCCGGTCTTACTCAGTTTCTACGAATTAACACAAATGTCCTGTTTCACCATAGCACAAATATTTCACCATAGCAAATGTTGTCTTGCTTCACCATAAATTAAAACGATGTCCATTAACTCCGAGTTGCTATACACGCAAGCCATTTTTGACACTAACTACTAAAAAACTACTGTAAACACTAACGCAACGACGATTGTAAAATCGGATTTCAGTATTCGGAGTCGCTGAGGCCACGTGGCTCTCTATGAGTATTGCGAATGACGCTAGAGACTACAGTTGTCCAGCGATGTAATGCTTGAAAGTACTACAACTTCAATAATGTTTTTCTCGGAAACTAGAAGAATTTTACATAAAATTTTTTTGCGATATTGGCTCAATTTCTCATGCCGCATCTATTCCCAAATTTTTTTTGGATAAGTTATGAATCACCCTGTATATATAGAACTTACATCAGTTGAATGCGTTAGAAATGGATTAGTTACACATTTGAGTTTTTTCAGGAAAATAATATAATACATTAAGTTACACAAACTTGATTGCATAGGCATATGGTATAAGCATAATTTTTAAGTTATGGTGACAAATTTTTAACGTGGGTTGGACGTATATTTAATTTTCTACAGGTAATGTTGAGCCGTCGAAAATACAGAAATCTGCGATGTGTCCAAATATTCATGAAGTTGATTTTCCGCGACGGGCTGTATTTTGTGAATGGTTTTTAAACAACTACGGTGAACTTCATAATATCACCTTTGTTTCTAATGAAGCCTGGTTTCATTTAAGTGGTTACGTAAACTCACAGAATATGAGAATGTGGTCTTCCGAAAAACCAGATAACTTTTTGTCGAGGGCCCTCTACACGCTCAAAAAATTGGAGTTTGGTGTGCTCTCAATCGAAGGAGGATTTATGGACCTATTTTTTTTAATGGTACTCTTACTGCGCAAAGGTATAGAGAAGAAATTATCGCTCCTTTTGTTAACCTGCTGGAAGAAAACGAAATTACAAACTTTTACTTTCAACAAGATGGCGCAACGGCACATACGGCAGGCGAGACGATGAATATGTTGAGGGAAGTTTTCCAAAATCGACTAATAAGTCTCAATGCTGAACATGAATTTCCACCGAGGTCATGTGATATTACGCCGTGTGATTTTTTGTTGTGGCCTTACCTTAAAAACACTATTTTTGAACTGCCTATTCCTGATTTAAACCATCTGCAGGCTCGACTTGTAGACAAGATTCGTGAAATTAACAATACCCCGAGCGTCTTAGACAATGTCTTTATTTATTTGAGGAACAGGTGTGAAAAGTTCTTGGAACAAGGAGGGGGACACTTTCAGCAGCTGCTTTAAT